GACTACAAAGCTAATAGATTATGTTGTGGAAAAGTTAGCAACCTCCCCTCATATACTACGTTGGTCAGTTCCGTAATCTGACCCGCCATTCGGTCTTGGAGCTCTTGGATTTGTTGTTGCACGAATTCTCTGACGAACTCAATATTAGAAGTTTCTCCAAGGTGTATTTCTTCTTTGTGATGCTCTTTTTTTATTGAAGACATGACTCCACACTCATCTCACCTTTAAAGATGTTAAATTCCGAAATGTCCTTCGGGTCATACCCAAGAAATAACGTTGGTCGAATAAGAGGAATGAGTGAAGAGTAAGGCAGAAGAGTAAGTAAGAAATAGTACTAATCCTTTCGAAATGAATTCAATAGTTATTCATAATAAGGTTACTAGTGAGTTAATTTTAATCGAACAAAAATTTGCTCCAATGAATTTAAGTAATTCAAGAGGTAACACCAAGATGAGCCGACTCCTTCCTTCTGGTGGGAGACCAAGGAGTCCTCTGAGCGTCCTTCTACACAAGAGGTTTCCTGACCGTCGACTTCAGGTGTCATTCTTTTCATTCGACTAAAACTCTATTCCTTGGGTCTGATTCGAATGACATTTTTTAAATTCAACAGTAATTAACCTTTTAAAGTGAAATACTTTGTCTGTGCAATAACCTGTGTTTTTTTTCACTTTTTGGGTTTTTCCACATAAGATTCATGGTATATTCTTCTGCTACTTTTTAATCATTTGTATGTGTGCTATATTTTCATATAACACAGTGTCGATAAATTATCATTCCATCTCCACGAATAATCCATCATAAGAAAAGTTTTTAAGGATGCCATCCAATGATGGAAATTCTAATGCACATAAATTTAAAATATCCAAATCTTTGCCAAAGAAATGCGATCAATAAAAGCACCTCTTGATGCTCAAAATAAATTTTGAATTATTTTTTTGGAACCAATTTAAATGTTTGTAAACCTAATGCACATAAATTTAAAATATCCAATTCTTCACCAAAGAAATGCGATCAACAAAAGCACCTCTTGATGTTCAAAATAAATTTTGAATTATTTTTTTGGAACCAATCCATTACTTCTAAAAGTTTATACTGGAATCTTAAAAGTCAAAATTTGATATACTTCGAAATTTACATTACTTTGCAAAAATAACACTACGCAAAAATAACTAAACTACTAAATTAAAATGACAGTTATGAGTTCCGACTTTACGATTCATCATGTTCAATTTTTTATTTCAATTTTAACAATTAAATGTTACTTTGCAAAAATAACTAAACTATTAAATTAAAATGACAGTTATGAGTTCTGAATTAGCGATTCATCAAGTTCAATTTTTTATTTCAATTTTAACAATTAAATGTCCATTATAACCAGGATTTATAAGAGCAGTGATAACGGCCCTAAATACTAACGATAAAACCAAACTTCCCCTAAATCAAGTGTATAATTCAAATCATTTGAAATGAAGGATTATTCAATTATTTCAATTATTTATGAATGGCAATTAAGGTGTCTTCTAAAGGTAACAGAGCATTCTCTTAATTATTTATTACATATTTGACAAAACTCTTAATGCATCGTATATTCAATACATATCCTAAATTAATTTATTCGATGTGACAGCAAAACAACCATCTCCATGGTTCTCACAATACAACCTATAAGTTTCTTTTCAAGCATTTTGTTTAATATTTGAATCTAAACCAGCTAATTGATCTTAATGAAACAGACCTCAATTTCTTCATTTGATGGTGGTTTGTAATGCTTGCCAAGCATTACTGAATTAAAATCACTGTAAGAAAAAATAATAATAATTCAGCTTTGCAAAGCGGAGATGCAAGGTAGGTAAAATCATTGAACATATAGATGAAAAAAGAAAACGTAAAATCGATTAAGAAATTTAATACGATATGACAAATTCTAACCTGCAAAATTTAAGAAAGTTTTTATGGAACTCCTCAAACGTTTTAATTTCATTGATGGGAAAATATTTATCGAATACATGATCTGCTGTAAGAGACTTGATTCCAGTGAATCCTGAAAGGTAACATTACATTCACGAGAAGTTAAATGGCAACATACCAGAAAAACAAAAAAAAGGGAAAATAAACATTCCGTATCGCATAATAACTAGGGTGAAAAGAACACTCCCAATAAACAACTGTAGATTCTTTGCAGAAAGAACAAAGCGGCTGAAGTAACAAGGAGGTTATCATGATGCAATTAGACAAAAAATAAAAATAAAATAAAATAAGAGGTTGAAAGTTATAAAAAAACATGCTATTTAAATGAATCAACCATACATTATGACTGAAAATTGCATCATTTTCATCTTGATAATCTGATAATCCTTAATCTTACCCCATTTATTTAGGCTTTGCTTTAAGAATCTTCATTTCTATTGATTTCTGGAGTAATGCATGCGATCACTTAATCTGAATTTTGTAAAAACTAAGTTTGCACAACTCTCATCAACTATGAACGGAGAAGACGATTAAGTTACATGTGATGCAAATCTGATTGCTTCCTACAGCAAAAGTTGCTTGCAGTTTATAGATGATTGATCCACGTTGATGCTCTTTCAATCCCACATTTTATAGATTAAAGCCCGAAAATGTGTTTTAAATTCTATCATTTCATTCGGTGTTATTACAAATCAACATTATGTTTTATGTTCCACTAACGCTATTAAACCTTTGTCAGATAAAACGATTAAGATTTCACCTAAAAAATGAATGAAATTGAAATAGATATTAGTAAAAATCTGATTTCTATGTACAATCAGTAATATAATCCACAAGGAAAATGATCTCTCCTTGTACAAAAAAATTCAGATAACTGACGAAATTTGAAACAAAAAGAAGAAAGTATTACAATCACGAATACAGGTTTTTACCAAACTGGCGAGTATTTGATTGATATTCAGGGTTGAACAATGAATCGTATAACCATTAACCACATCTATCACGATTCATCAAAAATATAAACTCAATACTGGTGAATGAATTGGGGAACAGAGCTACAAGAAGATTAAATACCAAGGCTCTGAACCAAACTCATGGAGATACCCATTGGATTAGTTTAGTCGAAACCCAAGCCTACCTGCGTTCTATTCCGTGAATAGATATTTGCTCTCTCTCATCCAAATCTATATATCTACAGAGACAGGGAGAGAGGGAGAGAGGGAGATGGAGGGAGAGAGGCGATAAGCCGTAGTGAAATAGAAGAAGTTTGGAATGTGTGCCTTTCCCCCTCTCCATTTCAATGTGAATGATACGCATCTGATCTTGGACCCGCCTGAGAAGCGATACATAGCTTCCGGTTGTAGCAGGCTGCAGTCGGGTTGGTTGAACCGGCTATAATGTCTTCAATTATTCCTTGGGACGGCAACCTTTAGAGTGTTTGTTTCTATGCCAAAAAAAAATTTTCATCTTCAAAAAAAAAATTTTCATAATATCATTAGCCTTTTCCTGATTATTACATCAAAAATATGTCGAAAGATTCATGTTCAAATGACAGACCATTTAACTACGTCGACTGCAAAAATATGTCGAAAAATACATCCAACAGGTTAACAATTATAAATACTAAAGCACAGTATATTGAGTTAGTCCAAAGACGGAAACATTAATCGTCGTTTCCTTTAATCAGAACTCTGAGCCGACCAAACGGAAGCATAGCTAAAAAAAGAAATATTAGTCCAATCCAAAGGATAATCGTTCATGACTAGCTTCCTCAGTAGATTCTAGAACTCATAAAATTGTCAAAGGGCCTCTCATGGAACATCGTTCGGACCCTCTGAGGAAGCTTCTTGTCCAAGCCGAGCAACTCATCAAATTACGATTGTACACCCTCTGTTTGATGACCCAGTTCATCATAACAACATGAGGGAGACCGAGTGTATATCTATCACCGACTAAATGCTTTCATACGACTGAGCGACAAGGTATCGAGTCATTAGATGCCTCTCTTCAGGCAGTTATGAATACAAAATGGTGCTAAGATCGATTATTGATACGAAAGTGTGCTGGAGTTTATTATAAATATGAAAAGATGTCATAATACCTTGCAACGTTTCTATTAAAACAGACACATATATGTAAATTTACACTAGGTATTCCCAAAATCTATAAATAGGGGGTCATTTCTACAATAACTGATTGATTGAATCTATCAATATTATGATCATACGATGCACACACACTCTCAGTTTCTCTCTCTCTCTCTCTCTCTTTTTCTCCATGTTTCTCTCACTCGCTCTGTGCTCAATACCATTGGTGTGATTTATATGACATATTTGAATTCAACATCTTAAAAGGTGTGGTAAGTGTAGATCATGCCATCAACAAGATAAGGAACAAACCACAGAGAAGGATTTCTTCTAGGAGACACCGCAAACATGGGGAGCATAAAGAAATTTGTGCAACAACAAATATAAAAACTTAGAGACCAAATGGTGGATCATATGGAATAATTGACCTACACATTATTCGAGGGAAAATAACAAGCTCCTCGAGAGTCAAACCCTCGAGAGAAAGAACCTAACCCCCCAAGGCTATCAAATGGCTAAGGGGGTTGAAGGATGGAAGACTCCCAGTACAAGTTAGTGGTGGGTCCACACCATTGATTAGCTAATGATTTAGTCGTATAGAAGTCTACCGCCAATCGGAGAATTTATTCTGCTGGCAGATCATTGGTGTTTAGCCACCAAAGAAGTTCAAACTTCCTTTATTAGAATCATACAAGGGTCGGAGTGCTCCAACCAACCATATTGCTTCCTTTGAGTTGGTTGTCTACGTTCTCAAAATCTATGAGGCATTGAAGTGTCGACTATTTGACACCAACTTGAAAGACTCAGCTCATAGGTGGTTTAATGGCCTCCCAATATGAGTAATCACTTCATTCGTTGAATTCAAGAAGATGTTCACGACACAGTTCGTCAGTGCCCAGAACGCTACAAGAACTCACAAGCCCTGTAGTGCCTCAAGCAGGGGCCAAATGAGAACCTTTATTTGTATGTTGTTCAGTTCCAGAAAGAAATGATGGATATGCGGGATATGGAACCCAGTATTTCAAAGGCCGCCTTGACCAAAAGGCTAAGGAGCAAGCAATTCAAGTATGCTTTGGGTTTTCAAAAACCTAAGAACCTGACTGAACTATTGGAGTTAGCCAACTACCATAATGCAGTGGAGGAGTATGTCTACCCATCATACTAGAAAGTTGAGCAATCTGACCATTTCTTATATAAGAGAGTCTCATGAGATGATAGGTGGCGGCTGAATGATGGCCCACACCCTAAGCTTGACGATATTCAACCACCTCTTGATTGTGGGGAGTGATACAATTGAATTATATAGTCTGTATGTACACATTTTTATACATATTTCTGAGATATTGTGCTTTAATGATAGGTATTTGGTTTTAATTTAGACTTCTTGTTTGAGTGCATGATTTTTATTTTCAAACTAAAATGTGGTAGTGTTTTCTCCATGAATTCTAAGCAGTTTTCTTTATCTTTTTCCTTAAAATGATAAGTGATTAAGTATTGGAGAGAAGTTGTGTGAAGTATTAGACTTTAATGTGGGAAGAAGTTGTGATGATTTTAAACCTTGTACTTCATTTACTTCTTGATTTGGCCAATTAAGATGTTAATACCTATTGTGAGAACATGTAAGATCCGAGATGGTATTGTCTCAATCAACAAAAGGTAAGAATAATATTTGATTTCATGGATGAGAATGTAGTTCATGGGTTTGAGTGCAAATAAATAGAGAAATAAACTTTGAAGGGTGTAGAATTAGAGGACTTTAGAGTGACAGGTTAAAGCCTCCAATTTGATTTATAGTTTTAGGCTTTCATACGAGATGTTAGCCCCCAGGTGGAGGGAGAAGAGAGAACTCTAGAGTGAGAGCTAATATCTCCTTACCTAACTCATCTTCAAGACTATTCAAACTATAGATTAGCCAATGTTCTTTATACCATCTCTAGTAAGGGTAAAAAATAATATTACTCCTATTTGGCACAACACAATTAGAATACTTCCATAACATAATTTCTATTTGTTACTAATTCATGATAAGTAAAAATATATTTTATTCATATTACCTTCATTTTGCAAGTATTTAGTTAAGTTAGTTGCTTATTTTATCTTCAAATTATCAAAAATTACAAAAAAAAAATTGAACTTTCATTCCTATTTTAGTATCAGAGTTTAACTAAGAATATTTTGCTAAATTGAATTTTGTTATCTAATTTCTTCTATTTTGTAAGTTGCATATTGTAGTTTTCCCTGTGGGGTAGTTTTCCCTGTGGGGGTTTGATATTTAGGTCTTAATCAAAAAATACTATTTTACTTGATAACGATACATAAACTTGTGTAATATCCTGTATTTAAATATTATAATTGTATTCTTACTTGCTTTGAAGTTGAGAATTTACCTAACTTTTGCTTGGGATTAAGTTTTTGGCTTTATTATAAAGTAAAAATCATTGTTAATGAAATTAAGCATATAATTGCATACATCGCAATTTGAAATCTATAAAGAGAATCAGGATCAGGGAGGCAACAGAAACCACTAGAGAGGAGGAGAAAGCTGATCAAATGATTGATCATCTGATGATCGTGAAGTACCAAAGGCCACACAGTTGAGGGTTTAATGACATAGTTGGTGGAAGTAATGCAAGATAAGGAGTACTTCAAAGAGCTTCACTAATGAAAATTGGATCTTCTCCTTGAAACAAAAATAAATTATATAAGTACCACAGAGACTACGATCATGTCACGGAAGAATGTGGACACCTTCAGAGCTTGGTTGAAGAATTTATTGGGGCCAACTAACTCAAGGAATTCATGGCTCAGTAGGCGTTAACCCAAAGGCAACATAAAGTCCTAATAGAAAAGATTTTGATGAGATCATTTGAGCCAACGATATACATATTGTTGGGATAGTGTCTGCCATCATAAGAGGAGACTCGGTACAATGAGCCGATCATAAGAGGCTCCAAACAGGGGAAATTTGCGCCCTTCTTTACTCCAAAGCAAAAACGTTATCCTTCTATCATTTTTGTCAACACTGACTTGAACCTGAAGGGGAACCCCTACAATGATGATATTTTGGTCATGACAATTACAAACAACTATCAGGTTGGTAGTATTCTAGTTGACACTGACAGTTTAGTGAATATCTCGTTCAAGTTATGCTTCAATAAGATGTCAACTCTGTTACTCCTCTAAAAGTGAAAGTAGAGAGAGAATTGCTAGAGTTCATTTCCTACACTATAGGGGCCATAGAGGCACTAACCTTTTAAAGGATGTTTAAGTTCATTGTATGGAACACTAGGGGTAATGAATGTAAAAAAAATTCAAAAACTTCAATTTTTGGCTTTTTTAGAACCTTTAATAGCTATACAGAATGAGCAATTTTACTTTATAAGGATTGGTAGGTTTGAGCTTTTTTCAAATTCAAATAAAAAATTATGGTTCATGTGGAGGAATTCTTTGGAAGTTAATATTTTACTTGACCACCCCCAATCCATTCATATGATATTTACATGGGCTACAAGTAAGCTTCTAGTCGCAATTGTCTATGTTGGGTGCTCTAGATCCTGTAGGCTGGAGCTATGAGGAAACTCGATTTTGTTGAGTATTTCTAGTGAAAAACCTTGACTATTATAAGATGTTTTTAATGTTATTACCTCAGCTTTTGAGATGAAGTGACGAAGACCACTAAATATGAATCTGATTACATAGTTTGGTAAAGTGTTGGGCAATGTTTGGCTTTTCGACTTAGGATTCATGAGGAGTCCTTTCACTTTTTCTAGAGGCAGATTTTATTAAAGGTTGGATATGATGGTTATCAGTTGCAATTGGCTAAACTATTTTCCTTTCTACTATTCAATATGTGTCTTAAAAGGGATCTGATAATGCTTCAATCATGCTTCATGTTAGTTTTGCTATCAGTCCTCATAAAGCTCAGTTATGGTTTCTCACTATGTGGACAATCCACCCTACCTTCAAGAAACTGGCTACATATCATTGGAAAAATAAGCATAAGGGTAATGTATGATTTAAATTATGGAAGCGGCAGAAAAATCTGGCTCATCATCTTAAAAGTCAGAACCATGAGGTATTTGACAAACTACATCAAGTGGTATAGAATGCTGAGAACAAAGTTAATGGGTTGGAGGAGGAGTATTATAATAATTTGATTAAGCATAATGTTGTCTTAGCTGGACACAAATAATTAGAACTAGGAATCTCTATGGAGGAAGAATTTTATAAACAAAAATCTATGGGACATAATTTTGTGG